AGCAGCCATAGAGCCTGTGCAAGCAGAATGAGTCCCTGTGCTCCAGGAGCCTCCAGGAGCTCCCATTCACAGGTCTGCAGGGTCAAGAGCACGGGGATTATTTGCTCATGGTGGAGGTGGGACTTCTTCCTGGAAGAGGGGGACATCCTGGAGGAAGCAGTCTCCAGCCTGGGACAGGCTTCAAGGCCAGGTTGAGGGGAGCAGGCACTCCCAGATGGAAGTTATGATGTGCTAACCAGGAGGCGGGAGAGCAGAGTGCCTGGTTGGGAGACATTCTCCAGTCTAGTGCAGTGGCGCAGGGTATGTGGCTCTTTCATTAGGGCCTGGGTTGAGGAAGGATCTCTGCCATTCCTGAGCAGGAGACCATGATGCTCAGTGAACCCCCATCAAAGGTGGCAGTGACAACCCACATGTGTATCATCCATGGTCCAGGGGCTACCTTTGACAGGCGTCTTGTGGTGCATGGGTTAACACACTTGGCAGCTGCACCCAAGGGCACACTCAGCACAGTTGGGACCTGCTGCAGGACTTTTGGTTTTCAGTGACATAATTGCAAAACTCAGCTCTCCATGAGCAGATACACTAAGTCCTTGTTGACAGGCCAAGAGCTGTCTCCACCAAGAGAGACAGATGTCTCCAGCTTTCCAGCCAGAAAAGCAAGGGCAGGCAGTTCCCAGTGAGCATGTAGACCCCCACTCCTCAATTTCAGAGAAGCAGGACAACCAGTGCAGAGCCATCCCTCCACCCAGGCCCCTCCCCTCCCACCATCCCAAACACACAGAGATGCACCACCAACCAGAAAAGAACCAACTCTGCAGCCAACTGCACCCAAGCCAGGCTGAAAAATCACTTCTGACTAATGCCACAGAAAATTAAAGGGGACAGAGATAAAGCAAGAGGGAGAAGGAGGGAGGACAGGGAGGAAAAGACAGAAGTCACCTCCATGCCCCACACTTACTGGTTCCTGGAAGTAGAGTTGGTAATCAAACACTGGGATGGCTTTGATAATCTCCATGGGGGACACCTTGGGATTTGCTGGCATGAAGGGAGTGTTCACACTGGCCACTGCCCTGCAGGAATAAGAGGCGCGAAGTCAGAAAGCCTGCAAGAGGACAGTCTACAAGAACCAGGAAGGCCCTTGCATGTCAAAAACTACACCTGCCAGGTCTCCCACCAGAAGTGTGTGGGATAATGGGATTAGAACTAGATACATTTGGATCCCTAAACCAGTGGGATTTTCCTCCGACTCAACTGCAATATTTCCTCACCTACCTGCCAAGACAAACACACACCACATCAAGACTGACTAGGTGATGTAGACACTTGGATCTCTTCCTAGTTTTATTTTTTTTGGGGGGGGGGGCTGTACAACTAAGTTACATCTCCAGTTCTTTTTATTTTTTATTTTGAGGCAGGGTCCAATTTTATTTTGAGACCTGCCTCCAACTTGTGATCCTCCTGCCTTAGCCTCCTGAGTCACTGGGATTACAAGCACCCGGCTGGATCTCTCAATTGAAGAATGTATTCACTATTCACTTTTTCCCCATTCCTTCATCCACTCACTGTGTCTCCTTGGTGTAGAGCATAATTCCATGTTATAGACTAGGGAAGGGAAAACATAAAATAAATAAAGCACATCCTCTCTCCTCCAAAGAGTTCATTATAATTTAATAAGGACACAGAGAGAGAAATGCGCAGATGACTGCATCATGAGGCCGACTGTGATAGAGCCACAGAATTGCAGGAAACACCATGAGAGTCCAAAGGACATAAAGAAGGTCTGAACTGGACATCATGGAGGGCCTCGGGAATAAGAGAGCACTTGAACTTGACCTTTGAGGGTGGAGAGAGTTGGGGGAGAAAACACCCGACAGGACCATCCGAGGAAGCAGGAGCAGGGTCTGGAAGTGGACCGAAGTTTGCAGTCCTACTGGGTGGAGGGAGGAGACTGGTCAGAAGCCCAGCGTTTAGTGGGGGAATAAAAACAAAAGCCAGTGGGAGCCTGGACACGAAGGGCCCAGAGTCTGGACTTGATGTTGTGAGACAGAAAACCATGAGGGCTTCCAAGCAGAGGGGAGACCGGCTCAGAGTCACGGGGGGGGGGGGGGGGGGGGGGGGGGGAGACTGATCCAGCAGTGACACAGCAGGAGTCCAGGGCACAGAGGTCAGCGGAGGTGCTGCCTGGCCACCCTTACAAGGAGCAGGAATAAGAAGGGCTGGGCTTGAGACCCAGCTGGAAAGCAGAGTTGACAGGATAGTTAGTTGGCCTGGTTTGGAAAGGATTCCGTACCCCACCCAGCCTGGGGAAGCTTCCCTGCAGCCGAGATCAGAGGAGAGAGTGTCAGCAGGAGACAGGGACCAGGGAGAACCCATCAGGAGGGCCAAGGAAATAAACTGGGAGAGGCGCGGTGTGGTTTGGGCCAGTGCTGGCCGATGTCATATAATTGAGCCACAAATGAAACTTAAGATTTATCCCTAGACTTGTGGCTCAGTGGCAGAGTGCTCACCTAGCACTGTGAGGCACTGAGTTCGACCCTCAGCACCACATAAAAATAACAAATAAAATAAAGGTATTGTGTCCATCTACAACTAAAAACAAAATTCTTAAAAAAAAATTTACCCCTAGCCACCATAAAATAAATAAAAAGAAAGATTAAATTTTAACATTTAACCAAAGAGATCTATAATATTAATAATTCAATATACATGATTCATATAATCAATAATCATTAATGAGCTATTTCACATTTCTTTCTTTATTCTTTTTTTTGCACGCCCTTGAAACCTGGTTGGTGTTTCTCATGTATGGTAAACTCAATTTGATTGGCCACATTTTAAGACCGATAGCCACATGGCTGGTGGCTGCAATCGAGGGTGGTACAGATTACAGTACAAAATAAATTATATGGACAGCTATAGGCTTCTAATGACACAATAGCAAACCTATTTTAAGTATTACTTAGGACACAGATCAAGAAATTTTAGTTTTTACTAAATATTCTGAGGGTAAAAGGGTTTTCTTTTTTAATAAACTTCACACCGGGGCTGGGATTGTGGCTCAGCGGTAGAGCTCTTGCCTAGCCCGGGTGAGGCCCTGGGTTCGATCCTCAGCATCACATAAAAATAAATAAATAAAATAAAGGTATGGTGTCCAACTACAACTAAAAAAATTTAAAAAATAATTAAAAAAATAAACTTCACACATAATTTATTCCCCACATATAAAAAAAATTGTCATTGTAAAATGAGGAAAAACACAGCCTCTGGTGGGAGCGGAGTCTCCAGGTGATTGGCAAAGACAAGAAGGATGTCAAAGGGTCTTCTTGGGCCAATGAGTGAGCAGCCCTGAACTAAATAAGCCCACAGCTTATCTCAGTAGAAAATCAAACAAAGGATGGAAAGAGATGCTCCCCTATGGGGGCTATTTTCCCACTTATTATCTGGTTAGGGAAGTGCAGGCCAATGTTGTCACCAATATTCTTAAAGGACAGGTTTGCTCCCATCCAGAAGACTGTTTCCCATCACAGACTGCCCTGGAAGAGGGTCTTGGTTCCTCCGCCTCTGGGGACTGCAGCGGCAGGCTGCCCAGTGATAGCCGAAGTGACAGCCACCACTGCCAAGGCCACCGTGGACACGCCAGAGAACAAGAAGTGGAACCGGAAACCAGAGCACACCGAGGGGCCTTGGATCTCACGTCATTTGGGCAAAATTTTTAATTCTCATGGGAGAGATTAAGTTTAGTAAAACAATAAGGTGTTTTTTTTTTCTTTAATCTCCTTTAAGGTAGTTTCTTGCTATAGTTCCTCTTGTTCATTCCTAAAAGCACATGTCCTGCCCACAGAGCAACTGTTTGGTTAACTTGATTTAAGAACCAAGCTCTTGTTTCCATTGCCGAGGGTGGGCAGGGGTGTTAGAAAGATCAGCAGAACAGGAGCACAAAAACTTTTTAAAAAATATGTATATATGTGGCCATATAACTAATGTGATTCTGCAACCTGTACACTTGGAAAAATGAGAAATTATACCCCATTTGATTCAAATGTATGATATGTCAAGATCATTGTATTATCATGAGCAACTAATAAAAAAATACTTTAGGAAATGTTTGATTCTTTTTAGTCTTGGATGTAACCTGGCCATGTGAGCAGGGGCTGAGGCTGAACCCAGTTCTCTGGACAGAAATTTAGCTATTGAGAAAATAACTGGATCAGCTGGGATGCAGAGGGCTGCTGAGAACCATGTTTACCTAACTCGCTAGGTGGGGCTCAGGCCGATTTTGGCTGTGACTTGCCAGCCAAAAGGGGTACAGCCACGAAGCCATCCACTGTCTGGGTTCCAGACCTGACATCTGGAGCTGCTGCTGGAGACTGGAAATGCCTCTCTCATGGTCATGTGCTGCCTGATGGTGAGGGCGAGACGCCATGTCCAGATAGGAGTTCTCACTGCCGCCTGTGGCTGAGGAGGCAGGCCTGAGAGGTGAAGTGATCTGCCCCATAGCCACTTTGGGGCAGGATGGAAGGGCAGGTGCTCTGACTCCACCCAGAGGAGCACTCTCTCCTGCACTCGGGCACCTTCCTCCTCACCTATTCCCTCAGAGTCTGCCATGGATCTCCCACTAGCCACTCAGGTCCTGGATTATTTGTCCCAGGACCAGTAACAGGCACAGGTGCTGCTCCCTAAAACGAGAGCTCCTAGTGAACCTGTCAACGGGCCCTGAAGATCTGGGTGGGGTCACTTTCCCACATCACCCATTAGTTTTCAAGAAGTCTTGTGGGAGGGAGATCCGAGGGACAGTTTTCAAGGCATTTAAGTCCGGTCTCTCCAGATGCTGGTTATGCGTGGCCTGCTCACCTCACTCTGTCGGGGTAGAAGAGAGCCATGTTCCACACCAGCACGCCGGCCCAGTCGTGGCCAATGAACACTGCTTGAGGGATGCCCTGGTGGAAGAGAAAGGAGGGACCCCACGTGGGAGAGCCCATCACCTCGCCCTGCAAGCCCAGGATTTCCACAGACCCCTGGAGAGCTTCTCCACAACGTTCACCCTCCTCAATCCTCCATCCCTATATATCTCCAGCCCCCACACCCTCTCTCCAACTGGCCTGTTTTATTCTCTTAGAAGACTGAGGCCGCTGGCCACGAGCTCCTTCTCTCTCATCACCTTCTCGCAATCCGACTGCGTTCCCCCTTTTCCTCCGTCTCTCCTAGTGGGAGTACACCCTCCCTCCCCAGGTTTCACGTTCACATTTCACAGATTACGATTCCACCCTCGCTCTTTGGGGAGTGCTCCTTCCAGTCCAAGAGCATCTCTGTCTCCCCTTTCCCTTCTGCTTTGCTGATGATGATAACAGCTCCCCTCTAATGAGCACCTACTACGACATGCTAGGTCTTGACCGACTGGAACCCCTCCACTAATCTCAATACCCATTTCACAAAGGGAACCTGGGCTCCCACCCTCAAATACACCAGGCTCTCTCCTCTACCCCAGCTGCTGCCCCAGTTGGCCACCTCAGGGCCGTTCAGACCCTCCCCACCTTGGTGGTTCCTAGGTACAGTCCCTGCCGTGCTCTTCACATCATCAAACTTCTCACGGTGGTTTGCACCAGTTGTCTCCCTAAGCACCATCTAAGTCCCCAAAGCTTGACTTCATCCCCAAGTCCAGTGCCACCTCCCACTGAAGGCCACTGCTCACCAGCAACGGTGGGGTGTGGGTTTCCCCTCCTCAAGCTCCCTGCTCTTCTGCAGCCTCAGACATTTCCTCTGCCACTGCCTTCCCATGGCTTCGTGGTGCTGAGCCTTCCAGCCTCGCGTGCCCCTGGCTCTGCTCTCTCCTGTGCCTCTCAAGGGCAAGTATTTTGCAACTCGGCTGTCAGGACCCTCCTTCTGAATGGACACTGTCCACAGTGGAGAATTCATCTGTTTCAACCACTTCAGCTACCATCCCGTGGGAGGCAGAGGCCCACCTGGTCTGCAGGTGGCCCAGATTCCTTGCTGCATGTCCTAGCAATGACCCAAAGATGGACGTCTGATTCCACTGACCTGTAACCACAAGCCCCTCTTTCCACAGTTGGACATGTTCTCAGACAGCTGGAAGTTTTGTAGTGAGAAGTCACAGAGAGTCAGAAACCAACCTTGCTGACCCTTTGAGCTTGGACTTCCAACCTTCAGAACTGTGAGGTCTGGGCAGCCGCACTAGGCCATGCTCACTTAGAGGTCTCCATCACACACGACACTTGCAAACCCAATTCCGTCCTCGGAGCTGAGACCGCGCCGAGGGCAGACTCTCAGCTCCTCTCCTCCCATGCACCCTGTAGATCTGGAAGTTGGCGGTCTGAGTCTTCTCTCCATCCTCACATCTCATTAATAAGCTGAACCCCTCTGCCTTGTGGTTCTCTCTGCTCTGTCCCTCTGTTGTCACTGACCTGGCATAGCCGTGGTCCCAAGTCTGCCCTGCAGGTTCTTTCTGCCCCCAGCCTAATCTGGGGAGGCAGAAGACATGACAGGGCAGGGTCTGGGGAACAGAGGTGCTCATTCCATTCTTCATCACTGAGATTGACATGGCCAGCGATGCCAAATGAAGGCGTTAGCGCTTAGATTTGTCAGAGTGACATGACTGCACAAAGCTGTGAAGCGTTTGCCTATGGGACATTTTCCAGTGCCTTTCCCTGATACCCAAGGCTCTCCTCCCTGGCCAACCCAGCAAAGGTACTTCCCTGTACTTCTTGGAACAAACAGAGAAGCATGACCCCCACCCACTGCCCTCCAAATACTCCCTGTCAGTCTTTGTCACTCTCCTCCCCAGCTGCCCCAGCTGGGCCCTTCCGCTGCCCTGGCTATCTCTGCTCAATGGCGCCGACTGCTGAATGGCAAAGGCCACCTTTCCGTAATTTCCCAGGCCCACCAGAGTTCTCCAAAGACACCTGCTCTGCCCATTGACCTACCAGCTTATCCAGGAAGGTGACCATTTCCTAAGAAAGAAAACAGACATAAAATCAGAAATCGAATCCAGCCACCCCATCCTCCTCAAGATCCTGGTTACTGTGTTTGTGCCATGAGCTCATGGTGTGCCCCACAAATTCCTATGTGGAAGCCCTAACCCCCAGTCAGACTGACTGTGTTTGAAGACAGGGTCTTTAAAAATGAAGTCCTTAGGGTGGGACAATTCCAATATGACAGGTGTCTTCATAAGAAGAGATCAGGACATGGACACCCACAGAGAAAAGGCCAGGTGGGAACACAGGGAGAAACCAAGGAGACGCATCTGCTAGCCAAAGAGGGAGGACTCAGGAGAAACCAACCTTGCTGACCCTTTGAGCTTGGACTTCCGACCTTCAGAACTGTGAGAAATGTATGTCTGCAGTCAGCGGTACTGTGTTATGGCAGCCCTGGGTGCCTGAGACAGTCACCAAAGAAGACTTTGGCTGAGGGTTTTCCAGAGATTCCTAAGGTGCCTAATGGCAGCAGCACACTAGAGGTTCTCAGTGAGGACCAGGCTTAGGGAGTGTCCCCATGTAAGGGAGAGTCTTCTAGGCTCAGGGTCTCGCAGGAGGCAGGTGCAGAAATTTGGTCTAGCTACAGTGGACAGAGTGACCCGAGTCCCCATCAGCAACAGAAGCAACTAAGGAGGGATGGGATTCGCCTTTCATATAAGCACAGGAACCCATTTACATTCTCCTTCTAGGGACACCAGCTGATGTTCCTGTCTAAAGCCATTCGCCCAGCACTACCGTCTCCTTCAAAGTATCTCCTGACTTTCCCTTTTATTCTTCTACCTTTGGGGTTCTCGAACTCGCTCCCACCCTTGCCCAAGTTCCTGATGCTGCTGTCTGGGGGCCTCATCTCTGCAGCACCTTCTCCTTTTCAGCTGTGGGAGCAACTCAAAGCCTGGGATTTTGCTTCTCAGCAACTTTTAGTGGCTACTTAGGGGCAAGGTGGAATCAAAGTCAGTAATTCCAGGACAGGTAGATCTTTCAGTGCCCCTGTGGCGATGCAAAATTTTATTTCTAACTACAGCCTCATTTTCACAGCTTTACTGATCCCAGGAAAAATGTATTCCAGAAAGAGGGGTCTGGGCTAATAGACATTCTTCAGGGCTTGCCCGTGTCACCATTGGAAAACTCACCAAGGAAGCTCCCCAGCCAGGCCAAAAGCCTGGAATCACCTGGCACGACATGATTCCCTCATCCTGCCAGGAAGAAGCACGTGCCCTGCCACTGCTTCCCTCCCCAGAGCCCCCCCTCAAGGCAGGACCTAGTAAGCTTCCAGATCTGTATGGAGAACGCTGATTTGAATCATCGCTTCTGTCTCATGGCTGCGTTGTGCTGGGAACTTCCTGTGCAAAAGTGCAAGTTAAGATGGCCCTTTGCTATGGTGACGCCAGCCTGAGAAGTCTATATACAAAGATGTAGAGCTGTATCAGTCTGAAACTCAAGCTCGGGCACCCACTCCCAGGGATAGAGAATTCTGGGCATGATAAAAATTGATGTCATGCAAATTTCACTGCAACATTCAAGTCAGTCTGCTTTTCTGAAACTTTCTCACAGATAAACTTTGATGAAGTTTATATATAATAAAACCTATATAATAAATGTGCTGAGCTAACTCTGGGTCAGTCACACTCCATCAGAGGTTGGCTACCCATCTGACCCCCAGGTTTTCCTCTCTATGTGTGTCTATTTGTCTTTTCTTCATCTCCCCTTGTCCCTGGCCAGTTTTCCCCTGAATTAACAGTCACAGCTGAGAGATGAGAGGGCCACAGCAACCTAAAACACCCACCCACCAATAAAGCACACCTAGAGCCTGCAGTGCTGCACTGTCTGAGCACTGGGATGTGGCAGCAGGCAGAACACACCCCTGACCTCAGGGGACCTTAATTCAGTGGATGGAACATGCCAGGCTAGCCCTGCCCCTCCCCCCAACTACAGTGGTCACTCTGTCCCCTCTGACCTCTTGAAGTCTCTGGGGAAAACCCTAGATCCTCTCCCTGGAAACGCACATGGGCACCTGTTTCTCAAATTCTGCAAACACTTCCAGGAGTTCATGGCCCTTTAGGATCCTGAACACCACAGATGACATGTCCCCACTTAATGGCACATGGCCATGTCTTTTCTCTTCCCAGTCCACCGCAGAGGCTGAATGAGTTCAGTGTTCCCCCACACCAGAGCCCACAGAATCTTACTCAGACCTGGCAGGTGCCTGGGAAAACGTAGCCCAACCATTCAATGCACTTTACACCTGAGAATAATACCTGCCACAGGTAAGTGACTCACCCAAGGTCACACAAAGAAAATTGGTGGCAGACAAGTCTCTACATGTTAATGAGCTTCAGAGATACTATTGCTATGCTGCATTCCAGCATTCCCAACCAGGAAATCTAGGACTACAGAGGCACAGGGAATGGGCTGACAGATTCCGTAAAGGTGCCCATTCTAAAGCCAGTCAGACCTCTGCACACCCATTTTCAGTGGCCAAGAGATGGAATCACACTGGTTGAATGGATGAAGAGAACGTGGCACATACACAAAGAAATACTATTCAGCCATAAAAAGAATGTCATTCTGTCATTTGTAACAACACATACAAGCCTAGAGAACTCTATGATAAGTGAAACAGGCCAGACACAGAAGTCAAATACCACACAGCCTCACTCAGATGCGGAATCTCATACATTTGATTTCATGGAAGTATGAGGTAGAACAGTGGTCACCAGCAGCCGAGGTGGGTAAGGATGAGAGTGGGGGATCAGTCAAAGGATGCGGGGTTACAGTTAGATGGCAGGAATACATGTCAATAGACCCACTGTACAGCAAGGTGACTATAAATAATGAAGATATACTGTATTCCCAAGAAATGTACAGGGCAGATGTTTATGCTCTCCCCTCGAAAATGATAACCATGTGAGCTGATATTACTATTACATTCCAAAATGGATGCACAGTTCAAATCATCATGTTGCAAACAGGACAAAACACACCATGTTACCTGTTAATTTAAAAAGTGAAGTTAAAATTGGATCTTTAGCTTTAAAAAATTGTGTAAAGAATTGTCATGCAAATGTAGGGAATTGGGGTTGAAAAAATGAATTTTCAATATATTGTGGGGGATAGAGTTGAAAAAATGCTTTTTTATGGGCCTTGACAGCAGGCAAAATATCCCATTTTTCTGTAATCCTGTCTTTAAAGTTAATGTAATTAACTATTAAAATCTTACACTGACAATACTATGATAATTTTTAAAACATCAACTTTATTGATATGATTCACATGCCCTAACATCCTCCCTTTTAAAGTGGACAGTTCAGGGGTCTTTATTAGATTCACAGAGTCGTGAAACCATCACCATTATCCAGTTTCAGAAAATCTTCTTTGCCTCAAAAAAACTGCGTACTCACTGGCCATCACCTCCCTTTTCCTTCCCTGTGCTTGGTAAACAACCACTCCTATAATTTCTGGGCCTATAGATTTGCCTGTTCTGACTATTTCATATGTAACATGTAGTTTTTGTAACTGGCTTCTACTGAACACGATGCCTTCAAGGTTCACTCGTGAGGAAGCGTGCACCACTACTTCAGCACCGCTTCATGGTCAGGAATGTTCTAGCCCATGGGTGGACCACATTTTGTGTGTCCATTCGCCAGCTGGTAGACAGTTGGGTGGTTTTCACTTTGTAGCTACCACAAATAGTGCTGTGTCAACCCTGGTGTCTGGTTTTCTGGGGGCACATGGGACGGATCCTCTTGGGTAAATTCCTAGTTTAGTGATGCTTACAGGTGGCCTGGGAGGACCGGAGCGTCTCTTTACCTCATTTGTTTGGGGCAGCAGGACGCCCTCAGGAGGGCAGTTCTCTGAAGCGACCCCTCATGCCCATGCCCAAAATAGATTCTGACAGGTCTAAGTGGGGGTCCAGGTGAGTGGACAGCAGTGGGACAGGAAGAGGGTCCCACTCAGGGTCACCGGGGAGATCCTGGCTGCAGGGGAGTCACCAGAAGATCACGAGCAGGCGAGGGGGAGAGGCAGACCTGGAGACTAAGGAAGAACAGGCTCGTCTGGAAATTGGGCTTTTCCCTGACTTGCTGCTGTGACGCCAAAGCCCCCTGTGGGGCTGAGGGCCGGACACACAGGGAAAAGGTGAGAGGCAGATGAGGAGTGTGGAGGCGCTACCTGACCTACAGGACTCCACCACCTTCACCTGCCTAACACTCGGTTTCCCCGAGAAACACACTAAACGCTTCATGCATGTTGGTGATCACTTAGAAAAGTCATCCCAACTTGCAGGAAGGATTCACACTCAAATGCTGTGCAATGCACTTTCTTAGGGTTTAACTGGACACCCGAGCTTCTGGCTTCCATTCACAAAAACCTGGAATGGAAAACATTTTCCAGATGTTATCAAAGATCCTTCTTACCTTACATAACACTTCCATGGCATATTCTTCTATTTCTGCAATTCAAAAAATAGAGAAATACATTCGACTCACATGATTCAAAATATAACAACAAACTAAAAGGACCCCTTTGCAAAACAAACAAACCAACCCCAAACTTCTTACATTTAAGTCTTCAGTTCTTTGTGACTCTTTGTGTGTGTGTGATGTGAGACAAGGGCCTGGTTTGATTCCTGTGCATGTCCCCCACTGCCACCTGCCGAGACCATCCCTCCCCCCGTTGTGCACTCTCAGCACCCTTGTCCAGAGTTGGCTGACAGTAAGTGGATGCTGCTCCGTTCTGTTCCACTGGTCTATGTGTCTGTTTGTAGGTTTGGGTTGTGCTGTTTAATTACTGTAGATTTATAGTAATGTCTGGAATCAGGAAGTGGGATCTCAATTGCCTCCAGCTTTGTTCTTTTTCAAGATTGAGTTTGCTGTTTCTGACTTGGGTGGTTCCATATAAATTGCAGAATTGCTCTATTTCTATAAAAAACATCACTGGAAGAATGGCTGGGCATGAACCTGGGGGTGAATGGCAAAGGGGTGAATGGCAGCTCAGCTCACTCATCCTGTCCACCACCGTATCACTGACACCAGGAAGGACCTGGATTGCACTCATGCCTGGCCACTCTGCATCTCTGCTCTCTGTGCCTGAGGCTCTTAAGAGTTCAGAGCTGAGGACCCACTGGAACTAGTCAAAACAAAGGACTCTAACCACGGGGAACATAGCCCCAGTCACAGACTCCGGGTTCCCAGGTCATCTACTGACCATCTGGATAGATTCCCACAGGGATCCACAGACACTGGGTTAAGAATCTGGCCTACAAATCACCACCAGACCCTGTCCTTCTACTTCTGGGTAAATATCCTAAAGAATGAAAAGCAGTGGCTCACAGATACTTATTTGTACACTCATGTTCACAAGAGCATGATGTGAAGTAGCCAAAAGACGGGGGCAACTCAAGTGTGCTCAGGTTCACACAGGTAATCAGGATAAGCAGAATGTGGTGTGCGCACACAAGAACTCGCATTCAAGTGCGGTCCCGTGGCACATGCCTGTAATTCCAGTGGCTTAGGAGGCTGAGGCAGGAGGATTACAAGTTCAAAGCCAGCCTCAGCAACAGCGAGGCGCTAAGCAACTCAGTGAAACTCTGTCTCTAAATCAAATACAAAATAGGGCTGGGGGTGTGGCTCAGTGGTTGAGTGCCCTGAGTTCAATCCCGGGTATGGCCCCCCAAAAAAAGAATTAGCATTCAGCCTTAAGGAGGAGGAAGGTTTGCACTATGCCACGACATGTATGACCCTGGAGGACGTTAGGTTAAGTGAAATGAGCCTGTCACAAAAGGGCACATACTATTTCCATATGTGAGGACCTGGAGGAGCCAGTCCCTGGAGGGAACAGTGGCAGTGCCAGGGGCTGGGGTGGGAGAGGTGATGCAGGTGGCAGAGCAGCCTGTGTTCTATACCCCTGATGACCAGCAGGAGGCTCCCTGGGCACAGGCCTCGGGGCTCCTGGGTTCATTTAGAGCACGGGGAACGGGCACTTGTGAGCCCCAAGGGCACAGACAGAGGACACCGCAGGGACAAGTCAGACCCCTTAGGATGGCTACCGCAGCCAGGGGTAGGAAAGCCCAAGTGCTGGAGAGCTCAGACAGGGAGAAGCCGGACCACACAGGACAGCTGCAGGACAGCCAACCCACCTGGAGGGGAGGACGAGTCTCCATAGCCTTTCATGTCCACAGCCAGAACCCGGTAACCCGCCTGAGCCACAGCAGGGATCTGGAAAACAAAGGATTCAGGCACCCGCCCCACGGCCTCATCAGTCCTGCCGAACCTTCAAGACGGCTTCCTCTAGCCCCTGCTCCTAAAACGGGTCATTCCAAAGTCCACAGGGCACTACCTGGCCTCCTCACCACAGAACTGGAAGGGGCCCCCAGGCAGGGCCACCATGAACAGCGGTGGGGTTGTGCACTGTATCAATGACACATTTAGGAGGGCACCTTTTACCAAGATTCTCAGCAAGACTTTATTAGAAGAACCCACCTTTTCCTAACTGGTTCAGGTGCCTTGGGGCCTATCACAGCTCTGAGATCTGGAGCCTTCTCCACCGAGGCCCCTTTGGAGTTTGGAGATGACGCTCCACTTCCTCATCACATTCCAGACTGGCCACCTCTCCTGGATGTCCCCTCCCCTCATCCTGTCCGGGGTGTGCCTTCCTTAGTCTCCCTTACCTGGTACCTCCAAGAGAACCAGCTCTCAGGAAACCCGTGGCAGAAGATCACCACAGGGCCGGAGCCCAGCTCCACGAAATGCAGACGGACCCCAGGCTGTGGGAAGAGAGGGAGGAGACAGTGACTACCGAGTCAGGCCAGATGGATCTGGTGCCCCTCCTGCAGACCACCTGGCATGGGCCACTTCAGTGGGTGGCTGGATCTCACAGGACCCCGCTTTTCAAGCTGAGGACCCCAGGGCTAGGTGATGATGGCTGGAAGGGCGCTGGTCTGCCTGCACTAACACAGGCAGCTCTCACTTCAGGGCGGGAAGGTGACGGGGCTGGACACCAACAGAAGCAGAGGGACCTCACCTTCCCTGTGTTGTTCTAAAGAGTTTTCAGCACTTGAAACTGGGGGCTAATTTTGGACAAAGCAAAATGTTCATGGCATGCTGAATACCACTATCATTTTATTAGGAGCTGTGTACACCTTAAAAATGAGGTTTTTTTTTTTTTGTTGGGGGGGGGGTTGCTACACTTGCAGACCTTTCAGGGGCTGCATAAGTGAGCAGAGACCACCAGTGCTCACGACATCTGCATTCTCTCTTCCTCCTGGCACAAGGTGGCATTTTCCAGGCACTCCCACCCCCACCTTACAGATGGCTATGTGACTGAGTTCTGGCCAACAAGTATGACCAGAAGACAGTTCCCCACCAGGGCCTTCTACGCTTAGCCCTCCTTCCCTTTCCCTCTCTGCACCACCAGTCCTGCAGACTACCAGTCCTGAGGAAGGTGGAGGCACAGAGAAAAGGCACCTAGGTTCTTAGGTGACTGCTGGAAGGAACCCAACTGGTATGAAGTGTGGGTTCACATACTGGTATGAAGCCACTGAAACAGCAGGATTGCTTGTTATAGCATCTAGCCCATCCTGACTATCACAATGGGCTCTAAGCAAATAGACCAAAGTTATACATAACCCAAATGCCCTATTTCCCCCAAAGTGCATGTCTCCAACATTCTGATGGCAAGGCACGAGAGTAATGGAGTCTTATCACAGAGATTCACTGGAAACTATCCACTTGGTGGATTTTAGTGGCTCTAAGCTGGTGTCCCACACTGCAAGATTTGTGATTCAAAACAAGCTATCTTGCTCAAGAAAACATCAGGCATGCATCTTGCAAACCCTTTCACAAACTACATTCCATTCACTGAACATATTCTGTAGTCTTCCCATTAGCATTTGGCAGAAGTTAACTTTAAATTCTCAATTCCTTATGTTGAAAATTGTGATAATGTTTATGCTTGATCCTAATTCGCCTCTATTATGGATTCCAACTATAAAATTCTCTTGCTGCCTCATATTAAACTCAGCTGAGAAACTCTTAAATGCACGTACTTTCCTATCACTTTTTATGTTAAAAAAAAATAATGGCTGTAAAACCAGAACAAGAGAATTCTGGCTACCAACTCAGTTTAGGTGGCATTAGGCTTTGATAGCCTGGTCAGCTGTGACTCTCCAGAGGTTCTCTGCCCCCGCTCTTAGAGGTGGTAAAGCAGCTCGGGTCACACTCGTTAAGTCAAATGAGGAACCTATTAAAACTGTCAAGAAGCGAGAAAGTGCTAGACTAGCCCTACCCACAGTGGAGGGGAGTAGTGTTTACATCCCACACCCCAGTCCTGGGCAAGAAGTCTTCCCTCCCTCACTGCCAGGGAGTTGAGATCTGAAGGGACTTTATTAAACATACACCCCTTCAGGAGGACCCAGAGGTCTAGGGGTGACTGCAGGGATGTTGACCAGTAGCTTATAGCAAAAAAGAAAATCCTTTTTTATAGTCCAAATCCCACTGCCCTCCATGGTCCCCTTCATGATACCCGCCAGCTACACTGCTATCACTTAGGGTGGACTTTACAGTTGGGGTCTCCACCCGCAGAGCCCCATTCTGAGCACATTTGGGCACAAGTGTTGAGCAGGCACTTCATCCTGTGATGGAACTGCTGGGGCTGTGAACATGTGTTTCATTAGACTGCAACACTTCTGGGGTCACAGAAGACCCCTCATTCATCACAGTACTTCTGTCTGCACCCAGCAAAGAGCAAACGCTCAGTCAACACATGTGGAGTCACCCTCCAGGTCAGCAAGTCTCCGCATGGTCTCTGAGGACAGCGCAGCTCACTCTCCACCTCCTGACTGTGGAGAACGCAGGTGTCAAGCCCTGTGCCTGGCGATCTGGTGTGGTGTTTCATCTAATCCTCAGCAGAAACCTACAGGAAGGTAAGGTCATCATCCCTTCATGAAGCTGTGGATACTGAGGCTCAGAGTGGGCAGCCGCTGGCCCACGGCTGTGAGCTTAGTGAATGGCAAAGTCAGATTCAGCCTGGTCTATCTGGCCTTACCCTGCTCTTGAGCTGACCCATGCTTTAGATCTCGTCCCATTTAAAGCAGCCAAAGACATATGAAGGAAGATCCCAAAGTGAATCTGAAGCTTCGGGTCAGCAGCTGGGGGAGGTCTGCTGGCAGGGCAGGAGTCAGAGCCCCTCTGCACGTGGTCTTGGCCTTGCCATGGCCCTGACCACTGGGCACTATAATGACCTCTTCCCTCCCTTCACCCTCGATGTGGGCTCCTTGTTCATCACTGCACTCCTGGGAACCAGCCTGTGCCTGACACAAAGGAAGTGCTCTCACCTGTCCAGTGAGAGGTGCTCTGCCCAGAGCACAGGCAGGATGGGCATGGACTCCCGCACACAGGCTGCCAGGCCCCACATTCCTGGGGGTTTGGCCACATCGGCCATGCCGATCAGGGTCTCTGACTTCTATTGCTTTCTCAGGAATGAGACCTTGGTGAAACCTCTTCCTCATAAACGGTGGATGTTCAACTACCCTCGATATTTCACAGGTGACTCATCAGGAGGCTCACCCAGGCCTGGTCAAAGAGCCCTGGCTGACTTACCTTTACTGTCACGTACCCATGGCTCACGTCACTTGGGCTGCAGGGGGTCGGCAGAGGGGCCACAGAGTGGAGCAGCTGAAAGGAGGACAGGAACCGTGAGGGACAGGGACAGCCTCCTTCCCTGAGGCCCTCCCTACCTCCTCCCCAGTCCTGCTGGTGCCTGACCACCCGGTCTCTCTCCCTTTGGGGCCTAGATAGACTCCATTTCCCAAATAAATTTGTGCAAGATTGTGGAGTTGTTACACGTATACTTTTCTTTGTTTATTAAAGACGGGCAGTAAACCATTTTCTATTCTGTCCCTCCTCAAATTCATATGCTAAAGCCTTCCCCACAGAGCCTCAGATCATGACTCGATTGGAAATGGGTCTTTAAGGAGGTAATTGAGGTAAAATGAGGTCACTAGGATGGCCCTAATCAATATGACTGATGTCCTTATCAAAAGAGGAGATTAGGGCACAGATACCAAAGGAAAACTTGGGCAGAGAAGAAGCCAGCCTCAAGCCAAGGAGAGAGGCCTCCCAGGGAACCAACCGTACTGACACCTTGACCTTGGGCTTCTAACCTCCAAGAGAAACAGACAGACTTCTAGAGCTGAAGCCACCGGTCAGTGAAACTCTGTTGCAGCAGCCCTCACCGACTGGTACCTCCCTTGGAGGAAATGGCTGTGAAGCCCTGTAGCATGCCCAGCTCAACAGGGTTCCCGTCTCCTGGCCTCCCCCGCCTCCTGCAGACAGGAGCCAGGGCCTGCGCCCCAGAGGCTGGGGTAAGTCTGCTCCTTCGGGGCTTGGTGTGGTCAGGGACCTTGAGTGGACCCAGAAGAACAAAGGTGACCAGGTCTGAGGTGCTGCTAATCTCCAGGCAGCCCAGGGACCTTAACTCTGTGTCATCCTCCTATGTGAAAGACAGATGTCAGGGACATTAAGTCTGTGGCATCCTCCTATGTGAAGGACAGAAGTCACCTAGGAGCTTCCTTCTGACTGCCAAGAAGGTGTGAGCCAGATGGAACTGGTCAGCTGCACCTGAGGCCCAGTGGCACGTCCATGGACCAGCGAGGTCTGGAGGCTCCAAATGTCCCTGTCTTGCCTGGTTCCTGAGTGGGCACTGAGCCTGGCTCAAATGCTGGCTTTTGGCTTGTCTGCTTCCTGCTCACTGACCGCAGAGAGAGGAGATGTTCCCCAGGGACCGCGTGGCTCACTGTACTGTGGGCAGCAGACACCTCTGTGGAGGGGAAGCCGGGTTCTCTGTGTACACCCCAGACACTAGCAGGAAGCTCGCTCTCCTCAGAGACAAGTTACCTGCGTCCCAGTGACTCTCTCCAGTTCTCTCAGGGCAGTGTTGGTGTCGTGGACGAGGACGGTGACCATTCCCAAGTCACGGGCCGGCTTCAGATTAGTCCCGACGTCATCTAGGAAAACCACCTGAACCCAAACAGCACGTCAAACCAAGAAAAACTCCTGTGAGAGGGAGTACACCCGAAATCAGGACGCCACAACACGAGCAGGGCTCCTCCAGCACAAGGACCTCGAGAACCCTCCCAGCGTGCCCACTGAGACGCCAGCATCACACCGCACACACTCGAGCACAAGGCCACAGTCCTGTGCCCACAGAATACCTGTGTGGGTTTCAGCCAGTTCTGAAGCTGCAAGAAGATTCAGGAGGATAGACACGTGTCAAGAACACACTACAACCCACCTGGGAAAATCGACAAGTCCAAACGGACATGGTGCAGCTGCAAAAGAACTCTAATGAGGACAGACAGTGAAACAAGTCATAAACAAGAGCAGAAGAGTTTGGTTCTAGAAAAGAAAACAGAAGTGTCTATGAAATAGCAGAGAATCTAAGATAGACCCAAATGCCAATGAGAATTTGTTTTCTGATGGGGGAGTCGTGTCCCCTCACGAGGAGGATTGATGCGGGGCCTTGGTGACTGCTTGGTTAACTGGGGAAAAAGCAGAGCCCCCGTCACATGTCACCCCAGAGACAATTCTGAATGGGTCACAGATTTAAATCTAAAAAGAAAAAAGACTTTTGAAGTTGTAGGGGGAAAAGCATGGGTGTGTTTGTTTATAATCTTGGACCAGGACAGCCCAGAATTCTAAGCAGCTCATTCCACCCAAAGGTTATAAAAGGGAGGACTGGTAGACTCAGGGGCACCTGGCACCTTGGAGCTGCTCCCTGCCAACTGCAGCTGCTGGAGGAAGGGTCCTGGGAGCACGGCAAGGGTCCCCAGGGATGGGGTCCAGGGTCTGAGGTGGAGTCAGCAAGAGAGGGTCTAAATCAAATTTTGGCAATCACCCGAGGAGATGAGCTAGAAAACGTTGGAGGACAGTATGAAAGACAGGCTTCGGGGCTCACAGGTGCCTAGAAGGAGACTGAGGCAGCATGGGGACCCTTCCCTGCTCACCCTCAGGTGGGGTGACCCTGATAGCCCCTGTGGCCTTGGAAAGTCTCCCAGGGTCTCTGGCTCTTCATAAATAAACTTGGAAGCTGGTCTAACAGCTTTAGATGATACCTGTTCTACTCAAGTCCTGTAAGAGATTCACAGGGGCCAGGTGTTCACCTCTGGTAGAACTCTCTAGACTGAAGGACAGGTACCAGTCCCTTAGGAGAAGTCCCAGACTGGGAGAAATAGACCTGGAACTGCCCTGCCAGGCCCTAAATGTGCCCGACCTGTAACCTTTCCCATTTTCCTCCAGTTACGGTATCTCTGGTACATTCTTTTTCCCTGAAAGGAAGCATCTGCATACCTCGCTGGGCTTGGCCTTCAGGGTGTCCAGTACGAACTTGTAGATCTGAGGCTCAGGCTTGACCATCCCAACCTGACAGGACTCTATCAGGAAGTCGAAGTGTGGGTTCAGCTCACACATGAGCTTGGCCAGGCTGTCTCTCGTGGCGCTGTCATCCAGCCAGTTGTTGGTGAGGATGCAGGTCACAAACCCTAAGCACAAAGTCACCCGTGAGCAGAGCAGCCACTGCAAACTGAAGCTCAGACAAGTAGAAGCGGCCAGAGCCGCGGGGCTGGGGAGGGTCCAGCGCTCCGTCTCTGCTACTGCCAACTCTGCATGGCTGCAAGCACCTCCCCAGCTCTCAGGAGCTGCATCCCCACGTCCAAACAGAGAAACAGAAACAGAGGTAGCATCGTCCCCTGGCTTTGTCTGCCCAACCAGGCAGGCTGAGAACCAGGTGATGCCGGAAAGGTGACACAAGGTGAGGCCTTTCCATGGAATATGAGGGAGCGATTATGGACATGGGATGGTGCTACAGTTTAAACGTGCTCATCAAAAAGCTTGTGCTGGAAACTTAACCCCCAATGCAAAAGCCTTGGGTGGAGGAGTCTAACGAGCAGTGATCTGGGCCAGGGGGCCCCTGACCTCATGAATAGATTAGTGCCCAATTATAAAATGGCTTAAGGCTGCAAATTAGATATCTTGGTCTCCAGCCTGCAGGCCTTCTGTTGCCCCTGCCTTCCACCATGGTATGATGTGGCATGAAAACCCCAAAGTCCCCTGATCTTGGACTCCCAGCCTCCAGAACTGTAAGAAATCAATCTTCTTTATAAATTACCCATTTTCAAGTATGCTGTTATAGCAGCACGAGGAGAACTAAGACAGATGACTTAGCCACAACTGTTAGAGTCCACTGGTAATAGGGTGGGACAATTTCAAACATGCCTATGAATAGGAGCCAGACATGGGCACTAAATAAATACTGAAAGAGCATGACCTTGTGTCTTAGATCATGTGACATAATCTAGACTTGGGTCACTTGGCTTGGTTACTCTGACACCCAGAGACTGGGAAAATCATGGTTGCTTAAAAGGTCTTGTTTTTAAATCTGGGACAAAAGGTTGGGTCATCACTAGTACTACTGGAAGGAGAGAATATGGCTCACAAGATAGTCACTGGTATCAACGGCTTGATTAGATAAAATCATGTCATTTTCCGGGTATTCTAATAATGCTATTTGTTGATGTTTGATAATACTTACAGTGGACCATGTTTCAAGAACAGTTTTCTGTCAAGGCTCAGAAGATCTGTGATCTCAAAACACACTTGGTCATCCATGGCGCTCACCCTGCCAATGGTTCTGGTATGGTCAGGTCAGAGAATGGCTAGTACAGGACCCTTACCCTTCTTTCTGAGATCAAGAGCTGCCTGAAGCATGGGGCGGTTGATGTTTCTTGCTGATATCGCCTTGCAAAAGATTTCGTTTATAGAGAAATTCTCGGGGAGGCGGATTCCAGAAGCTTCTGAGCGTTTCCTGCAGTTTTCTTCCATAAGTGGCACCCACTGTAAAAGTGAATCGAAAAGGGGGACCATTAGTGGGTGCAGCCACTCACAAAAGCTGTGCAGCACCTACTAAACGTGAACATAGGCATCCCTGTGACCAAGCAATTCCACTCCTAGGAATACACCGACTGGGAATGTCAACATCTGTTCCCCAAGAGACACGGGCAAAAAGTCCTCACAGCACTCTTCCCAAGAGTCCCCAACTGGAAACTACCCAGATGCCCTCTGAGCGGGAAATGGGTGTGGGGCACATTCACACACCCTCAGCAGCATCATTCCCAGGAGCCCTGTCTCCTCTGTGTGGGCTGCTAATAACAACACATCAGAAGCTGAGGGCTCAGCAACAACAGAAGTTGATTTCCCACCATTCCAAAGTCGGGGACATCCAAGGTCAAGGCGCCAGCAGGGCCCATTCACTGTTCCATAGATGGTGCCCTCTCACCTTCCTCCCACGGGGGAAGGGCTGGTGAGCACCGGGGTCTCCTGTCTAAAAGCACTCCCACTCAAGAGGGCTCCACGCTCAGGACCTAACCACTTCCTGAAGACTTCCCATCCCAATGTGAGGATTTAACATGTGAATTTGGAGGCCACAGGCATTCAGATGCTAGTGAGCCCCTGCCTGGAAGCTACATGAGTGTCCTCTGTTATGGGATGAATTATGTCCCCTCATAATTCACATGTTGAAGTTCCTACCTCCTGTATCTCAGGGTATGACTGTACCTGGAGACAGGGCATGTAAGGGGGTAACTTAGGTGAGAGGGGACAGGTAAGGAGGTCATGGGAATGGGTTCTGATCCTCATAAGGAGAGAGCAGGGCCTTGCTAAGTTGTTGAGGCTGGTTTCCTCTTGCCTCAACCTCCTAAGGTACTGGGATCACAGTTGTACATCCCTGTGCCTAGCTCTGTGGTATGTTTGTTACAGCAGCTGACACAGCCTTAGTAAACTAACATACTCACTCAAACATGATTTGTGGTACATACATATACATTATCATAGCAACACTACTTGTTAGAGTCCCAAACTGAAAACTACTCAAATATCCACAAATAGCAGAATGGGTAAATAGATCAAGATATAGTCACACAAAGTAATACCCCATAGTAGTGAGAAGAGAACTATCTGTAACTACATGCAGTGACATCTCTGAATCTCACATGTACAGTGTTGAGCAAAAGATGCCAATCATAGAGGAATTCCTTCGTGTGATTCCATTTACATCAAGCAAAACAGGCACAGGTGATGGGGAAAAGTCAGGTGGGAGCTGCTCTCAGAGGGGTCAGTGTTGGGGTGGGGCACAAGTGAGGGGCTACGATGCTAGCTGCGCTTCATTTCTTGGTTGGGTACCGAGGCTGCGAGTGTATTCAGTTTGTGACACGCATGCAGCTGTGTGCTGCAATGCCTCTCTGTTTGCACAGTACTCATAGGTGAGAAGCTAAAAGACGGCAGGCACTTCCAAGATCTGACTTTTCAAGCTTAAGGAGTCTTTATCATGGTGTAATTTAGCTTTCAGACCTCTCCCTCTAGCTGTGTGAGTTTCCTGGAGGTTATGTACTGACTACTAGAAGCCATGAAAGGAGTTAGAATGGGATGTGGGGTTTTCACAGCTGTTACTAACAATTCACCCTAGAAGCCCCATGTTCCTTGAAAATGCATAACTCTTCCTTCTTGCCCTCCCTTCCATCAATATTGTTGAAGCTTATTTTATTGGATAAATTATTTCTTCCCAATATAAACATCACAGTTTTCACACCAGTTGCCATGATGTGTGCATGAGTGTGTGTGGGGGGGTGGCTTAAGGTGCCTAGAGTACCCCCATAATAATACCACATTGGCCTTCACGGAAAAAGGCAGGCTTTTGCTTTCTATCGTGAGGGCTCCAAGTTCTCTGAGTGAGTGATGGCTGGCTGTAATTCATAGACATTATGTACACACAGAATTTTAAATCTGGGTGCTTATAAGCAGATTGTCAATAGCGTTTCTTCTTAGAGAAGCAGTAATTGAGAATTCAAGTGGCATTAGAGCCTGATTACTTTGTTAAAAAATAATTGGGGTTGTAGTAACAAGAATAACTACCGTTCTTTGAGCACTTACTATGGGCCAGGCACTGTGCTAAGCACTTCCATGTTTCATGATACTACAATAGGTAGTATCACTGTCCTATTTTGGCAAGATTGAGAATTTAAGAAATCAAGTGACTTGTGTGGTCACTCAGTCTGTAAGTGGGTCCTGTGATTCAAACTCTGGTCTCTGACTCCAAAGTACACCTATTAGTAGTTATTGAATTAATAGTCCCAGTGGTTCTGTCCTAAAATAGTTACTCTGACTATAGAGTTCCCTGGAATAGCTCTTCAAGGTCTCGGAGATGTCCCCCTGGTTTGACTACAGTCAAAGAGATTATAGACCAAATGCCCCTTCAATGTCTCCTGGCCTTCTGGGTGGTCTTGTGGCGACAGGACATTATGACACTGGGTGAAGACGTGATCCAGCCCTTGGGATTTGGTGGCTGGTGCAAGGCAGAAACAAGCATAGTGCGCCTACCCAAGGGTCCCGTGGTGTCCCCTTACCTGGGAAAACGTGATCTGTCCTTTCATGAGGCGAGCAATGGGGCCATCCAGGCCTTCCTTCAGAAAAGGGTCATTCAGGAAGCCTCTGGGGGACACAAGAAACACCACGGTCAGGAATGCTCCGCCTCGCAGCCCGTGGGAGACAGACAGGTTCATGTTCACAGTGGCCAGCGATGGGAGGCTAGAGTTCAGGGCCCTCTGTCCACACAGTGTCATCCAACATAAACCAAACAGTAAATATGCTGAAGGGGCAGCGGCCTGGGGGAAAGCCCTGCACGGAGATTGAGCTGGTGGAGCCATGGCTTTACAGTTAAGAAAGAGAATCAGAACTGGACCAGGGGTCATTACTGTCCTCAGCTCATTTGCCTAAGGAAGTGTCCCAGACGACTTTTTCATTAGTTCACATTCATTGAAAGGAAAGAAATAGTTCTTCTCTGGTTTTGATTATGTACATGTAATTTCTATTTTGTCTTAATCTCATTGTCTACATTTTTAAAACGTTTTTGGTGAGAGCTGAATTATAACTCCCCAGATTCCCTTGTTGAAGTCCTAACCCTGGTCCCTCATACCGTGACTGTGTTTGGAGACAGGGTCTTTAATAAGATTACTGAGTTAAAAGAGGTCATTGGAGTGGGTCCTAATCCAATATGACCAGGATTCTTATAGGAAGAGAAAATTTGGACACAGATACGCACAGAGGAAGATCATGGGGAGACACAAGAAGATGGCCATCCTCAGCCAAGGAGAAAGGCCTCCAAAGAAATGACCCCTGCTGACACCTTGACCATGGGCTAGTCACCTCCAGAGCTGCTCTCCTGTTAAAGGCAACCAGTCTGTCTTATATGTACAACAGCCCTAATCAAGGAATATGCCTTAGTTCTTATCAGCTGCGAATGGTAAGACAGCCACAACCATTTACCACCCCAGAGAAAGAGAACAGATATCTCCAACCTGGGAGTTTCATTTCTGATAATAGCCAAGTACCTTTCAACAGACTAACCCTTGTGCAAGTAACATGATAAACTCTGGACAAACTATTAAAAAGACTTATCTAACACTGCTCCACTGCCCAGTATCAGCAATGGCTCTGCCACACCCAGCAATGGCTCTGCCACACCCTTGCCATCAGTTTTTTTTTTTTTTTAAGTTTTAATAAGTTGGAATTACAGATCACCAAAATTCACATTTCCAGTGTATAATTTAACAATTTTTAATAAATGTATGGAGTTGTACAAACACCACCCTATTCCTATTCTAGAACATTCTTCATGCTTTTCAGTAGCTGCCCTCCAGGTTTAAGAAGCAATGCACAATTCAACTCAATGATCTTTTATTAAGCACCTATGGTATACAAGGCATTGTGCTAACTGCTGAGATATAAAAATGGAAAAATATGGCTGTCTGCTTGGGGCACTCATAAGAGAACAAGGGAGGTGACATGTAAAGATAGATTTACTCATTAACTCAACACAAAAGGGATGCCAGACCTCCATATATGAGGTCAATTCATTTTTCAACAAAGAAGTCACCAAAATTGAAAGTAAACAATTTTTCTTCAATAATGATGTTGGAACTACTGGACCTCCACATGGAGGGAAGACATCTAATCTCCCACCTCACACCATATAAACAAAGATTAATCTGAAATGGTTTATAAACCTATATGGAACAAAGACAATCCAGCCTTAGAAGAAGGTAGAATATGACTTTTAGGTAAGTAAAGATTTCTTAAAAGGACACAAAAAGTGTTCATTGTAATAAAAATATATATAAATTAGATGTCATTAAAATGAAGGATTTCTGTTCATCAAAGACATCAAGACCGTGAATGAGTAAAACAGAGACATGGGGCTTTTGCAGTATGTACATCTGTCAAAGGCCCAGTTTCAGGAATATGTGAAAAATTCCCAAACATCAACGAGAGCAAACTAACTCAGAGGGGAAAAAATGGGCGAATCACCTAAGTGTATTCTTCAAGAGAATTATTGTGGTTCATAAATATATGAAAAGAAGCTCAGTATCATTCTTCACAAGGGAAACCCAAACTAAAACCACAAAGACTTGCCACCACATGCCCACGAGCAAGGCTGAACTAGACAGACTGGCATTGCCATGCAGCGATGGAAATGTGGTAGAACTCACTGGAATTCCCTCACGTTCTTGGTGGGAGTGTGACTTGATAAAACCACTTTAGAGAATGGCATCTCTGCAAAACCTTTTTATATTGACATGGGCACAATCACAATAAAGCTATGAGGCACAAGCTTTATGTACTGATTAACATTGAAATATGCGAAATTAAGAAAGTAGAGATTGTATCAAGATAGCAAACTCAGGATATATCTATTTCTCTTTCTGATCAATCATCCCACTGAGATTGTTGCCAGAGTCCTAGGCCAGGGTGCCCGGACTTTGGGGAGTCCCGAAACACCAGATCTGGCCCCTTGCCCCAAAAGGAAACCAAATGCAAAAGTAATGACGAACGAGGGAAGGAATTTAATATTCAGTATAGCCACACTGGGAAGACAAGGGTACTGGTGTCCTCAGCCCTGCCTTCCAGGGGTGCTGACATGAGCTTCAAGTTTAAGTAGGGAAGAATTGGGATGGGGCAAGAAGACTGCATAGCAAAGTCACTAGTCCCACTTGGGGGGGAGGCAGTGCCATCAAGGGGTGACCTGCCTGCAAGGCTCCCTGTTCCTGGCAGGTTTAGGGCAATGACTGGAGACTTCTAGGGTGTTAGCATAACTGCAGCCTTGTTCTTTTTGCCCCAACCCGCTCTGTGAATACTGTTCTTATTCCCAAGAAAGAGAAAGTAGCCCGAGATAGAATCTACTGGCCTGGAGGTGTGCTAGTCTTTCCCTGTTCTCTTACTGAGAGATAGGGGACAACCTACAGGCTCCTGAAATGGGGACACACTGGTTTCCCTGTTCTCTCCTTAAGGAGATAAAGGGACATGTCAGTTTCCCTGTTTCCCCTCTGAGAGAGGAAAACTGCCTGTCTCTGTTCCCAAGAAACAAACTTGCCTTCCACAAGATCAGGAGATGCTTACTATGTTGGTCAAGACTAACTGCACCCCTAATGCGCGGCCATGATTCTAGCCTATAAAAGGTAACATTCAACAGGGAGTTGCTGCTCTGTCCCTCTCTCTGCGCAGAGCAGGCTCCTGACAATAAACCCGATCTTTATCCCAGGTGTATGTGTGTGATTAGTCCTGCCACTTTTCTTTCATAGGGGATCTGACACAGGACATTGTAAAAGCTGGCAGCTGACAATCTGTGAATTATAATGTTCCGGAAAATCTTGAAAATACCTTAGTTACTCCTATCTTGGTGCCTTCAGCCTTGGAGGGAACAAGAGAGGTTAGGTAAATCTAGAAACAATCCACCTGTACTGCCAGTTTTTAAATAGATACTCCTTAAGCGATTAACTTATCTATGTGCAGAGCTTAGCAGGAACTTGACCCAAAGTTTAAGGGGAAAAGGAAATATACAATATGAAAGCAGAGATGCCAAATTTTTATCTGTTAGTTACCCATCAGGCATCTGTGGGCCCATGTGAAGAGTCAGTGCTTTAGCAAAAGTGGACTCTATGTCCCTGTTACAAGATTTTACAAAAGATAACATTAAAGGGTTTCTCAAAACTTCAATAGTACTAAAAAACCCAAGAAATATAAATTATCAGACTAAAAAAAAAACCTCAAAAAAATCTTGGAGACAGAAGGTAAATGGGAAAGTACTAATTTGAAAAAAAAAAAAAAAAAAAAGCAGAGTCCAAACACAGGACAAATTCATTTTTCTTCTCCACTAAACCCCAGAGGAAGCTCAGACTCAGCGTTGGCAAACACCACGTGTAGAAAGTGGGCCTGGGGGGCTTCAGGGTAGACGAACGAGGGCTGTGTTTGCAGAGGCCGAGGCAGTCTCTCCCTCAACCGCCTCATTTGTTCCTGCAACAGATACTTATGGAGCGCCTTCTATGTGGCAGGCACTGCTGCAGGCAGCACGTGGTCACTCCAGGTAGGCTGGTTTGGGACTTCCCCAGCAAAGGTGCCTCAGGGCAGTCTGCTGTGTCCCTTTGAATCCTTTTCATAATAAGATTTTATTTACAAATTATTTATGAAATCAAAATTCTTTTTTTTTTTTTTTAGTTAAAAAAGGGAAGATGCTTCAGGAGCACATGAAATCTTGGAGGTGTGAAGAGCAGCGGAAAGCCTGGGCGCTGACCTGCAGATCCTGGAGGCATTCAGGAAATATCACGGAAACCGCGCACAAGATACACCCAAGTCCTACTGTCAGACCCTCTTTCGAGTTTTGCCTAACTGTATTGTTATGGGTCAAACTAGATGTGCCTTGTCCAGACAAACTCCTTTTTACCCTGAGACTCCATTTCATGTAAGAAATGTTTCTTCCATGAGAAAACCCTGCCTCTGCCACCTTCTGGTAAGCATGCCCTGTTTGACAATGCATGGCAGCTGAAAAATGTTTCCTCTATTTTTATACAATGTATTATTTTTTTTTAATTTTTTATTGTTGGCTGTTCAAAACATTACATAGTTCTTGATATATCATATTTCACAATTTGATTCAAGTGGGTTATGAGCTCCCATTTTTACCCCATATACAGATTGCAGAATCACATCAGTTACACATCCATTGATTTACATATTGCCATACTAATGTCTGTTGTATTCTGCTGCCTTTCCTATCCTCTACTATCCCCCCTCCCCTCCCCTCCCCTCCCCTCTTCTCTCTCTGCCCCCTCTACTGACATTCGTTTGTCCCCCTTATATTATTTTTCCCCTTCCCCTCACTTCCTCTTGTATGTACTTTTGTATAACTCTGAGGGTCTCCTTCCATTTCCATGCATTTTCCCTTCTCTCTCCCTTTCCCTCCCACCTCTCATCCCTGTTTAATGTTAATCTTCTTCTCATGCTCTTCGACCCTACTCTGTTCTTAGTTACTCTCCTTATATCAAAGAAGACATTTGGCATTTGTTTTTTAGGGATTGGCTAGCTTCACTTAGCATAATCTGCTCTAATGCCATCCATTTCCCTGTAAATTCTATGATTTTGTCATTTTTTAATGCAGAGTAATACTCCATTGTGTATAAATGCCACATTTTTTTTATCCATTCATCCATTGAAGGGCATCTAGGTTGGTTCCACAGTCTAGCTATTGTGAATTGTGCTGCTATGAACATCGATGTAGCAGTGTCCCTGTAGCATGCTCTTTTTAGGTCTTTAGGGAATAGACCGAGAAGGGGAATAGCTGGGTCAAATGGTGGCTCCATTCCCAGCTTTCCAAGATATCTCCATACTGCTTTCCAAATTGGCTGCACCAATTTGCAGTCCCACCAGCAATGAACAAGTGTACCCTTTTCCCCACATCCTCGCCAGCACTTGTTGTTGTTTGACTTCATAATGGCTGCCAATCTAACTGGAGTGAGATGGTATCTTAGGGTGGTTTTGATTTGCATTTCTCTGACTGCTAGAGATGGTGAGCATTTTTTCATGTACTTGTTGATTGATTGTATGTCCTCCTCTGAGAAGTGTCTGTTCAGGTCCTTGGCCCATTTGTTGATTGGGTTGTTTGTTATCTTATTGTCTAATTTTTTGAGTTCTTTGTATACTCTGGATATTAGGGCTCTATCTGAAGTGTGAGGAGTAAAGATTTGTTCCCAGGATGTAGGCTCTCTATTTACCTCTCTTATTGTATCTTTATACAATGTATTATTAAGAAACACATTTGTAAGATGTTCTCCATTTAGTTACCATTTTTTCTTGCACAGTATACTGTACCCTGACCAGGGTTATTCTGACCCATTCCCTACGTTGCTATGGTTTTGACTTACTGGTAGTTGGTGGTTTGGAGGCTCTAAGAGTGCACCCTACCTTCTGCAAGGGGCTGAAGGTTGCAGAGATGACTTGCTTGCTGCCCTTCCAACCCACAGGCGAATAAAGTCCCATGTGCTGCTTCAAGACTGACCTGGTGATTTATTTCAAATGTGCTACAACAGTATTAAGAATAAGATCTCTTATCTAGCTCACTCAAAGAACATCTATTGAGGGCGGGGGCTGTAGCTCAGTGGAAAAGCACTTGCCTTGCATGTATGAGGCACTGGGTTCAATCCTCAGCACCACATACAAATAAATGAAGATACTGTGTATCTATCTACAACTAAAAATATATATTTTTAAAAAGAACATTTACTGAATTCTGTAGCATGAATTTTAAAAGATATTTGACAACTTAACCGTCTCTACTTTTTAGTCTAGTGGTGCTGGGCAGACCCTCCACGATGATGCCATCTGAGCAATTATTCAATTACGCACATACAACTTCGGCATGGTGCCGAATGCTTGTGATCCCAGGGATTTGGGAGGCTGAGGCAGGAGGATGACAAGTTGGAGGCTAGCTGGGGCAAGTTAGCAAGACCCTGTCTCAAAATCTCTAAATTGCTTAGCGATGATGCGCCCTGCTACAGGATTCAATCCCAGGACCACCACCCCCAACACTACAGAAACAAAACTGCCTACAGGTCATAGGAACCTTGGGAGACCACACTGGCTCCTTCAGAACACTTCAGTCAGTTTTGGCTGCAAAAGAAAACATCATTTCCAGGGGCTGGAGATGTGGCTCAAGCGGTAGCGCGCTCACCTGGCATGCACGGGGCGCTGGGTTCGATCCTCAGCACCACATAAAAATAAGATAATGATCTTGTGTTCGTCAAGAACTAAAAAAATAAATATATATAAAAAAAAGAAAACATCATTTCCAGCACCCTAACTCTCAAGGACACTGGTCCAGATGGCCACAAAGGGAGAGCTTCTTTTTCTCACTCTGTCTGCTGCATGATGCTAGAAGATCTAGCACCCAGTCCTCCCTCAACCTCTGACTTCCAAAGTCCATGGCAGCCTGAGACCAGGACCTTGCCTTCAGCAGTTATTTATGGGTGTCCAAGACTTGTGGGCTCCTTACCTGAAGCCTCAGCACCAGGCTCAAGGCTCCCTCTTGTCCTCAGCTGGGCCCTTCATCCTCCATGGCAATGACCCCACAGAGTCCTAGTTGAAGCTCTTGTTCTCTCCGTTTCCAACATTACAGGGCTGTCCTATTATTCTATTGCTGGTCCATCTCCAAGCTCCCAAACCCTCAGTCTTTTGCCCCTATCAATTTACCTGATCTAGCACCCTGACAATTGTTTGCTGTGAATTAGAGCTCCAATTACTTTATTTCCTCTTCATCCCATCTCAGAAACCTTCCAGGACTCCCCACTGGCCATGAAGTAGGGGCATGCTCATCCGCTGACTTCCAGGCTGCACCCCGTGAGGGCCCGGCCACCTCTCCAGGCCCTTCTCTCCAGTTACGCTGCAGCATGCAGTGTCCCACTCACATTCCAGGCTTTCCGCCTCCTGGCCTGTGTACCTTCTGTTCCCCTCATCTGGGAGGGGCCCCCTCACATTCCCTGACAACCTCCTGTCAATCTTCCTCCTACACTTAAGCCTCTCCTGATTCCAGTGATCAGACCTCCTCCTCCCTGCTTTGAACCACTTAGAACTCTGCACTGTCTTCCTCTAGAACTCTGAGTTATCATACCAGTGCAACGGAGGCCCTTCTCGTTCACCTTCCGAATTAATACCTTCATGGTTGGTTCACAAATCTCAAGGTCATGCACTCTGATCTCCTGAGTTCAGCTAGTTTTGCTGTTGCCTGCTTTAGGGCAGCTGGGAATAATCCTAACAATGGTCACAAAGGGAGTGCATCAGCACAACACCAAAAAACAGCATAAGTCAATGCACTGATTTGTACATGCATGGAATTTTTGTAATTAAACAAATGCATCAAAAATATAGCTGCCCTTCAACCTTACAGGTTATCTAATGTAATTCATAAAAATTCATAGGAGAAAGTACTGTCTTATTTTATCAGCCAGATGACTAAAATTATAATAGGCTGAGCAAGGCTACCCAAAAGGAAGTGTCAAAATTGAGATATGAACTTGGGTATGACTCCAGTGACCAGTGCTCTTCTAGGTAGTCCCCACCTGGACACCTGTGTCTCATATACTCAGAAGCCATGCTCACTTCCACGTCAATGAGGTCACAGGTACAAGCAGACCTCACAGCTAGCAAACCTCACAGCTTATTTATTCTCTTTGTGTATTTCTAAAAAAAAAAAAAAAAAAAAATCAAATGTATGTGTCAAAATGAAGTGAAAAAGGATTTCCTATTTCTTAGAAAGGACTTCGAAATTAGGTCATTATCCCTTCCTCAGTTTACCCTTCCAGTCAATGACCTGCACTGGGTAAGCATGGCTCAGAGGTGTCTTTCCATTTTCAAATATGATTCTCTGTCCAACCCTAATTCTTTGGGTATGATTATTCTGATGTAGACTCTGTAGCCAGCTTATTTTTATTTTTAGCTATTAACGTTTACTCGCCCTGGACCGATGGATCTTTCCCAGAATGACAGCAGCCAAGAGAGGTGCAAAATCATAATGAACCAGAGGAAAGAATCCCAGATTGAGGGGGTGGGGGGCAGAAAAATTGGCCCCAGACCTGCCTATGATTAACATTGTGCAATCTGAAGCAAATTAATCCCCTTACCAAGCCTGTTTCCACATCTGTAAAAGTGAGGTTGCTCTAGGCTGTCTTTCGGCCTGGCTTGCTTGCAGACACTAGCCTTCTATGGTTTATTTAGGGTAAAGGTTAAAGAGCCCAGTTGGCCTTATTAGCATAACAATTCTAGAATCCTTAGATGGGAAGGAACTCCAGAATGCAAAGCTTTCACTCCTTCCCTCTGCTCCTTCCTGGGGCCAGTGATATACAATTTGCTCTTCTTTTTCTTTCTTAGTTCTTCCAGGGTGACCTACTTAACTTTCTTTCTTTTTAACTTTTAAAAATAAATACGCTTCTCTCCCCACTGACAGTAGGAGTAACACATTTGTAAATCTAAGTGTTGGAAAATACAAAAAGTTTAAAAAATAAAACAAAATCATTCATGATACCACCTGGAGATTAATAATGCCAAGGATATTTTGGTATATTTCTTCTAGACATTTTCTACATGCAGCTTTCTCCCCACAGTCGAAACCATGTTACATAAACAGTTTTACAATCTGGTGGGTTTGGATTTTCACATATTATAAGAAGATATTTTCTGCTGTCCGTGAAACACACCCTGAGCTCACATTCACTGGTGGATTCTTCCTGGTTTCCCAGTTTCCAGTGAGTAGGCCACGGGCTATTTCTGTAGTTCGCTGGAAGTACACTTGTCACACATGCCTTAGGATAGAACTTTCTTCTCTTATATTTTAATGAACCATTCCAACAGATAGAATTTAGCTCAGTGAGTAATTCCTCTTCCTTTCGGAAGCTTTTAATATAATGGGCAATTCTGGAGTTTTAGCAAGGCTTAATTACTTAGGATTTAGAACGACAATAGGTCCACTTTAACACCCTAGAATTTTAGAGCCAGGTAATTATTTTAACCTTTCAAGGGCCCGCGCCCTAAAGCAATCAGAAACCAGGGCTGCAAATCCATTTAAAAAAAAAAAAAAAAAAAAAAGCACTCCTCGGCAGGGGGTCCTGCTCCCGACCTAGGGAGGGCAGCGGCGCAGGGTCCCCTTACCTGGGCAGCGCCAGGGCCTCCTCCGCGCGGCCGAGGGTGCCGATGGCAGAGGGCAGCGCCAACACTCCATCAAGGTCGAACACGACCGCACGCAGCGCCATGGCGGCCTGGGCCGCGACCTCGCAGACACAAAGCGCGAAGACCTGGACGCGGGACCGGAGCCACCCGCGACCCGACCTCCCAGCTCCAACCCAGTGTCCAGCCCCGCCCCGCCCAGGTCCCGCCTCCACCACGCCCCCTGGTCCCGCCCGGTCCCGCCTGTACCACACCCACACCACGCCCCTGGCCCCGCCCCCTGACCCGGCCCCGCCCAGGTTGCTTCTGGCTGGGACTCTGCTGAGGCTCCGTCTCCATTGCTTCCCAGCGCCTGACCCTTGACCCAAAATCCCGCCTCTGGAGATTCCGCCTAAATGCAAGCTCTCCTCCCCTCCCCTCCGCGTGTTGACGGCGAACTTTCCAGACTTTTACCACTTTCAGGCAGTGCTAGGAGGAGACTCACCTGAGAAGGAGTTGGGGACATGGGGGGAGGGTACAGTCCCTTGGGGGAGATTGAAAGGGGTGTGTGTGTGTGTGTGTGTGTGTGTACACACATGTGTCCAAACACTTTCACATTCGATATTTGGATCCTGACTAGCATAGCTAGTAAAGGTCTGACTTTTGCTGAAGTCTTTTCTAGATCTGGTAGGTATGCTTCCAGACACCCACTATCCTGACTACCGCTGGACGCAGGCTCTTCTCATGTGTTTCTAGAATAAAAGGTATTGCTCTAGTCATGTCAGCCAGGACTACTTCAGCTCCAGTCTCTTGAGGTATAGAAGACAGCAATTTGGTCTATTTTCCGTTTGCACATTCTGCTTGAAATAATCCTCCCTAAGAAATGGGCAAGCCAATTTCCACACTGTTGGCTCTTTTATGTTTCAAGAAACACTAAAACTTCATCGGTAGGGCGTCCACCCTTGTGTCGGGGTTGTTGGAGCTCTCCTGTGTAATGCAGCTCTGCAAATAAAAACGGGCTTGGTGTTCGCTCCTCACTTCCAGGGACTGAGGACACACACATGATAGAGACCTCACTTTCAAATGTGTCATCTGAATTAATCAAAGACACCTTCCACCATGTAGTCACAAGACTGTTGTGAGAGACCGTCAGAGGCCTTACTGAAATCAAGAGTTCTAAAGCAGCGTTGGGGTCTGGCAACCACCAATCAGATTAACAAGAGAAATGGGCTTACTTTGGGTTGGTTGGTACTTAGCTGTGTGAATGTTTCCTTCTCCTGCTTCATAACCTCTTCTAGAATCCTACCTGGGACAGTTATTGGGCTTTTCTGAGATTCACATCTAAGGGCAAAGTTATGAACAATGTCAATTATTGCAACGAGAACTGAAAAAAAGAGACTTTGATTTTGGATGTGGATGATGCTGAGTGATATGTTTCGGAGTACTATCAGTGGAGTTTGGGAGGTAAGAGGTGGATTATTAACCTGGGCTTAAAGTCTGAAAGAGAGGTAAAGAAGGGAATACAGTAACTTCTCTAGAAGTTGGTCATCTCAAAGGTCAATCTGAGTGTTCTAAAAAGAGAAAGCAAATTGCAGCCTGACCCATAGAGTATGCAACCTCTTAAATTCAAATCTCAAACTTAAGACTTTCCTCTGGGCTCCAGATTTGCACATCCAACTTCGTATTTAACACCTCCCGAATGTCTAATAGGCATCTGCGGTGCACCGTGACTACAGCAGAACTCTTGATCCTTTCCCTCCTCCCTCACTTGCTCCTCCCAGGAGAGCTCACACCTTGCTAAGTGGCACCCTGCCGACTCAATTGCTCTGTGGGTGAAACTTGGAATTCTTCCTGACACCCTCCTCTGGCCTTGTGTTCTTTAATTCTTTTCCAGTGGGGCCAAGGTAGTAGCTTCTGGTTGGGAGGTGTTCTCTTAAAGGCCCAGCTTGGAGCTTACTTCTACATTTCTTTCAAAGACTTTGTGGGACTTTCTACCCTATTCAACTCTTTCTTTCTCTTTCTGTTTGGAATAGCTGCAGTGATTCCTGTTGCCTATATCTGAACTCTGAGTAGGTAAAGTATTATTTGTGAATATCTGAATTTGTCTGTAAAAGTGGCAAAGTGAAGATGAAAAACAAGTCTACAGAACTGGACTTCATAAATCCCCCTTTTGAGAAGAAAAAATAAGAAACTCTACTTTCAAAGGAGAATTGTCTTTGGTTGAGAGAAAGCTGTGGTGCTCTCACATGGACCTTTTGTTTATTCAGGAGCAGTTAACTAGCTGCTCTAGTCTGGTGCCTTGTGAGTTGCAGGAGTGAATGGCTTAGGCACAGATTAAAGGTCTCCTTGTGCTTCACTGTGCTCTGCCCTTTTGAGTTCTGCTGCCCAAGATTCTGGAGATAAGGGCTCACTCAGATGGGGTATGGGAGCTGGATATCTTTTTGAAATGCAAATCCTAACTATGATTTCTGGTAATCGAATTTTATGAAATGTGTTTTAGGTGACAGTATGAAATCATAAAACAGGGCTAGTTGTGAAAATCATAAATGACACCTGGTGTCAATCACTAAACTCTCCAAGAACTTATATGGAACTCAACATGTTTCCTTGAGCCCCTTAAGTTTTGTTGGGGATTTCCTTTGGTGGTTCAAACATTTCGAGTCTGCCTCAAGCACAGCATTTCCTGGGCTCCCCTGATGCTGGTCATGTGACATGGGCTCTGCCAGTTGGGTGTGCTGGCCTGAGATTTGGGCATGGGAAGGGGCAAGCAGAGGTGCAGCTGTGGGGCTGGAACTAGCACCTAGCTTTTCTAGGGAGGCTGAGATGGAGCTTCAGTCTGGTCCTGAGTGGACTCGGTGTCCAGCAGGTGTCAGAGGGAAGGCTTTGTTAAAATGACACCATGGCATGCTCTGTTTTCATTGTGTCGTTCTTGGTTATAGAGTTTCCAAACCTGTGTTGCATCCCCCTAAGGTTCTGTGAGTTATTGGTGTCCTTAATAATCCCATCTGCTTATGTGACTGGAATAAAGTTCTGTGTTGTAAAAGCCCCATAAGACAGACCCACCCTAGATTCATACACGTGAATCTTGGAAGAAGAAAGAGCCCTCTGACATTAGAATTCAAAAATGTCACGTGCTTGTTTTTGCCTTCCTCAAATCTTGGCCCACAGCCTGTGAACTAGGTGCACCAAATCAGATGCACCAGCCCAGACTTGAAGAGTCTTAGACAGCAGGAGAAGAGTCTTGGACAGCAGTTTCAGGGACTGCAGCCACTGGCAGGCATGGCATAGCCCCTGGCCCTCAGCAGTCAGCTGCTGCAGGGTGTCCTCACAGGCTTGGTCCTGCATTATGATTTTGGTGGTGGCCTTACTTCTGCCTGTTTTTCAGATGTGGTTCTCCAACCTTCCAGAAGCCCTTGCTGATAGCCTGTCATCAGCCAGAGTAGGCACTTATGGCTACTCACCAGATCCCAGAACATTTCTACTGTGCTTTCTGGAACCTTCTGGAACTCACCATGCCTTCTGGAACCTCAGGCTCGTCATCTTCACCTCAACCTCTTCTCTTCCTTCCTCATTCTCCCTGGCGTCTGGCCCTCCCAGGTGTCATCTCAGGGTTCTGCTGTTTTCTTCCCTCCTCCCCCTTACCACTGGACAGGGGCTGTGCAGATGGCCTCGTTGCTGCTCCCAGGCCCTCCCTGAAGACCCACCACATCAGTGTTGTGGCACCGACTCTGCCACCCCCAGCCCACCAGTTCTGCTTCTCCTTCTCCAACGTGGCCTCTCTCCTAACCTCCCAGAAGACTAGGTTCCTTTCTGTCCTCAAATCTCCAGTACTCTCTCCCCCATCCTTACTCTGAGCCAGTGAGTGTTGCTCACTGTTTCATGGAGAAAAATGGAATGTTCTAGAAACTTCCACCAACACCCACCTACTTGCACCTTTGCCTATTTCCTTGTCAACTTTCCTCCTCCCACAATGACCAGCCACCTTTAAGAGCTGCTCTTCTCTAAGGCTCTGTCTTCCACTGAGGCATGAGATTTGCTACTCTCATAGGCACGGAGGACAATTCCCCACCTCCCACCCCATCCAGTACCTCTGGTACAGGATCATTCTATTTGTAAACTGATAGTCCGCCAGATGGAGGCTGCAACTGCGCCCTCCCCATGTCTGTGCCAGAAATTGCAAGGAAACTCTGTCTCATTCTCCTGCAATGTCCCTCTGCTGCTCTCAACTAAGAAAGTTTAACATTTTGCACACTTTGGAGGAGAAATGCTTAAAGAAATAGATTGAAGTTGTATTCGGAGAAAAGGGGTAAAAAACTGATCACTGCCCAGGGCGCTAAGATCCATGCTCAAATTTTGGTCCTGTGATTTGCCCGATTATCACTTCAGTTTAACACTCAGCATTGTCTAGGGAGAAATGAGGCTATAAGAACTGGCATTGTCTGTGATCAATGCCAGGAGCCTTCCTTGTCAATCAATGACAGTTGTTTCTTTCTCTGATTGATGAACTTCTTTTTGACTTCCTGAAAATCCTGTGACAACTTGCCAGAAGGATCTACTGTGACCAGGCAAGCCACATTTCTTCATGTCCCAACCCACTGGACCTCCCTGTCCCTAGGCCTGAACTATAGCCACATCCCCATAGGCCTCAGCAGGCAGTTACAGGGAAAAACCTGGCAGGAGATACAAAATGTGCTGTGGATCTGCAAGACTCTTCACCTAGTCCACAGCCTGGGGAGGGTATGTAGAAGTGGGTCCTTGAGGTTCCAAACCAAGGATAGGAAGTTGAAGTAGGGCTTGACTAATTGATGGGGGTATGTTTTCTAGTGATTTGGGGTTCGTCTACAACCTTGAACAGCTCACAGTTCACTCAATTCCAGAAATCAGTACAATGCAGTGGATTCTTGGGATGGTAACACTGGAATGGATTTTCTTCTGTATCACCTGCCTGCCTTACTCCTAATACGAGAGGACTCATGAGACGCCTCCTTCCTGAGATGTGCCTTGGTGAAGGAAGGTCATCAGCTAGAAAGATAGGGGCAGAGGAGAAGTGACCTGGAACTTGGTTGGCAAGATTTCAGCTAAGGAAATGCTGTGGATAAGTGTCCCCTAAACACCCATGGGTAAGGCTCAGTCACCAGCCTGTGGTGCTTGAAGGTGGTGAAACCTCAGGAGGTGGATCCTCGTGGAAGGGAGCTAAGTCAT